CTCTCTCTCTCTCTCTCTCTCTCTGTGTGTGTGTGTGTGTGTGTGTGTGTGTGTGTGTGAATGAGCACATGCTTGTGCATCCATGATCTTAAAAGCCTGCAATCATATCTATGCAAGTATGCTTTTGCTTATAACTGCTGGACATTAACAATCTATCTGTCTGTTACAATTTGCCTTCTGTTAGTCTGTCTGTCAGTCAGTCAATTTCTCTCTCTCTCCCTCTCTCTCATGGGACTTCATTCCAAGATGTCTTACCTCTCCTGTACAATGGCTGCCACCTCTCGACTAAACTCATTGCCTTGTTTGATGTGTTTCCTAAGTTCTTCAAAGCCATTCAGACCCTAAAATGATAAATCAAAATAGCTTTGTTAGAAAATTCTCTTTTTTCTATTGTGACAAAAAGCCAAATGATCCCCAATACATATTTTACTGTACTAGTACTATCAAAATAAACTATAAATAATTCAAATTCTGTTTAAGTTCAATCATTCAAAAAAATATTTTAAAACCATTTTCCTTATCATAGAAGTTACTGAAATTTTATATTATCATTTCTGATTTTCCATTACCAAAAAAAAAAAAAAAAAAAAAAAAAAATGTTCCAGACATCATAAAAGTCATATTTTAATCAACGATTAATGCAACCTCCCCATATAAATACAGGTGCCAAGCAAGAGCACTTGGACTATCATAAATAACCACAAATGACCTCAGGAAATACCCTTTAGGACTTAATTCTGACACTTCTATGTGTAAATCAGGCATAGAAAGGAGCCAGTGCTTATATTTTTCCCCCACATCCTGTTCTCAATGTGATTTCTACTCCAATGACCCCATGCAGATTATGCCTACTGGCACTTATTTGTAAACCTAATTTTGGCATAATGTGAGATGAAAAATAATTTTGCATTTTAACCTTTTTATATGTTCATACAAACACTCATGAATACAAATTTAAAGAAAGGGAAGAGGCCCGGACTTCCCATGCCTATGAACATAGTACAATAATCTTTAGCAATTTAAGTCAATAATTCACTCAGCCAGGCCTATAAATGGAATCTTATGTATAACTGACTGATAGTCGAAGTCTGGATTATAACTTGTCTGTAAATTGCCTATATCTATAGTATAAACATTCCAACTAAACTCATATTCTATTAACCCTTAAATGTGCATACACACATTCTTAACCTGTGAAGGTGCATGCACACACACACATACATACACACGCTCTTTTAATGTGCATGCACGCACACTCTGGGGATTCCCATAAATATAAACGCATGCATGTAAATACTTATACATACGCACACACATGAACAACAGACACACAATGAAACTTATCCCGTATCAAAAGTCCGCTCTGATATCATAAAACCAATAAACTATCAATCTCTCTGTACACAGTGTTACAATAGAGCCGAAATCTTTCTCTGTGTAGACATAAGATAACACACGCCATGATATCACCTCAGTCACAAACTTCCTGGTAAACATGCTCCAAAACACTGTCCTCTGATTTAAAGGTACTGCATCTGTTCTAAATAATTAAATAAATATTTTCACAAGACTATGAACTCTGAAGTTCTGCTGAAAGCATCAAATCTGATAGTCAACTGAGATGAGCCTTACCAAATGTATAGATCTATAAAATAGGCCGTCCCATCTTCACTGGAAACTGACCTTAAATTGCTCCGATTCTAAACAGATTGAGATTATTTTAAGACAGTTACACAATGCACAGAAGTACATATGACTATATGCTATGTGTATTCACAGATAATAANAAAAAAATGTTCCAGACATCATAAAAGTCATATTTTAATCAACGATTAATGCAACCTCCCCATATAAATACAGGTGCTAAGCAAGAGCACTTGGACTATCATAAATAACCACAAATGACCTCAGGAAATACCCTTTAGGACTTAATTCTGACACTTCTATGTGTAAATCAGGCATAGAAAGGAGCCAGTGCTTATATTTTTCCCCCACATCCTGTTCTCAATGTGATTTCTACTCCAATGACCCCATGCAGATTATGCCTACTGGTACTTATTTGTAAACCTAATTTTGGCATAATGTGAGATGAAAAAGAACTTTGCATTTTGACCTTTTTTTTAATATGTTCACACAAACACTCAAACAAATTTAAAGAAAGGGAACAGGCCTGGACTACCCATGCCTGTGAACATAGTACAATATGTAATCTTAAGCAATATAAGTCAATATTTCACTCTGCCAAGGCAATAAATGTAATCTTATGTACAACTGACTGATACTCAAGTCTGGGTTATCACATGACTGTGACTTGCCTGTATATATATAATATATATATTCCAACTAACCTCATATTTTATTAACCCTTAAATGTGCATGCACACACATTCTTAACCTGTTAAGGTGCATGCACAAACATACACATCCTTAACGCATTAGTGTGCATATTACATGCATCAAAACACACATATACGCATGCACTATTTTAATGTGCATGCACGCACACATTCCCATAAATATAAATGCATGCATGTAAATACTGACCCATACATACATATGCATACTACACGCATGCACGAACAACAGGCACACAATGAAACTTATCCCGTATCAAAAGTCCGCTCTGATATCATAAAACCAATAAACTATCAATCTCTCTGTACACAGTGTTACAATAGAGCCGAAATCTTTCTCTGTGTAGACATAAGATAACACACGCCATGATATCACCTCAGTCACAAACTTCCTGGTAAACATGCTCCAAAACACTGTCCTCTGATTTAAAGGTACTGCATCTGTTCTAAATAATTAAATAAATATTTTCACAAGACTATGAACTCTGAAGTTCTGCTGAAAGCATCAAATCTGATAGTCAACTGAGATGAGCCTTACCAAATGTATAGATCTATAAAATAGGCCGTCCCATCTTCACTGGAAACTGACCTTAAATTGCTCTGATTCTAAACAGATTGAGATTATTTTAAGACAGTTACACAATGCACAGAAGTACATATGACTATATGCTATGTGTATTCACAGATAATAAAACAATATATATATATATAGTACTAACCTGTAACTGTTGATGTCCTGGTATACCCATCATTATTCAGACTAGAACAATCACACAGTTGATAAAATACAGTTGTGTCCTCAACCAGTACTCCAATAATGACAATTGTATAGATCATGTACTATATATATAAACACATGCATAGGTGATACCAAGGGTATATTATGTACATGAACAGCCTTCTCTTTTTTCAAATAGGCAATAACTAAGTGAAGTAATAGCTCTCAGTTTACATATAAACCTGTGCTATAATGAACTCTTGTGTTTCCATTGACAAAGTTTTCAAATCTAGATACATATCCACTCCTTGGCTGATTACTGCTGTTTATATATCAGTATATACACCAATGAACACTTGTGTCTCAATATCAATTGCTAGTAAGAGACTTTCCAATCCAGATATATTCCCATTCCAGTGCTTAGTATAGTGTCATTACATCAGTAATGTGGAGGACATTATCCCATACAGTCACAGTATCACATAGAATGCCTGACTTGATGATAATCCCATTCAAACTCAAATCAAAAATTTTAAGTTACTAACAATCCTCTCAAAATCTGTCTGGTTCATTCAGCCCTGCTGATCACACTGTATGTGAAGTAGCGTTACTGTCTGTCCAATGAGTTATCTTGCCAAAACCCCTACAATGTCACTTCCTACTTGGTCTATGGTGTAACCATTAACACCATTCTAACCTATCACTTATACATGTGCAGGGCCCAATACTATCTATGACTAATTTCAATCATGTATGGCTGTACACAAAAGGCTACTTCCTAAAATGTTATTTGTACACAGTAAAGCAATGGAATTGCTACAATCAGTTTTGAAAAACACTTTTATTTAAATGAATTTATTTTGGTGACTCATGTACTACTGGTATATTCTATAGTGAGTCTGTGACTATGATTTAACTAGTGTGATATATGTATACATTTCAAGGGCATATCTGACCCGATTTAAAAAGACAAAGATTAGAACACAAAATTGTTTACAGGTGATTTTGGCCTTCCAAGAAAGTTGGACTATTAATGGCCCATTACAAGAGGAAGTAATTAATTCATGTAAACTATTTACCCAGAGTCACCTTTTCAATGACAAAGAAGTTAAATTGCAATATTATGGGCTTCAACAACATATTTTGTACACATTCAGATGTCAGAAGCAGATAGACTTAAAACTTGAAATATATATCATTCTGCTACATACAAAAAAGGCCATTATTTTTATAACTGTTATTGACATTTGCCACTTATAATTTTTAAGACAAAATTTGGACAAGAGTGGATTTTTTAATCTTAATTTTTACTGTATTTTTATTTATTTTTTCTGATGAGGGGGGGGGGGGGGGGGGGGGGACAGGGGGGCTAGTATGTTATCCTGCCCAAACATCATCTTGAACTTTTATTTTCTTTTCAATTTATGAAGTGTATCTTAGTTGTGTATCTAAATTAGGTAAGACAAGACCCATTTTCCACTAATTTTTATGTGACACATATGTCCCTGGTATGTGCTTTCCTGTGATCAAGCTGCTCTGTGCCAGTCTAAGACAGGCCTGCAAGAACAATAGTATCATTAAACACAAATGGTTCGTCACAAAAAAATTATCCGTGTCATTTTTTAGTTCTTTTTTGCCTTTCCCATCACTACAGTCAGGTGCTCTATTTCCCTGGGTTTGCCAATGCTTTAAAACTTCAACCTATTTTTTTCAACGCCAATTTGACAATGCATGCAATGTGGACTGTTAGAAAAGAATGGACAATGGTCAGTTTTATGCTGGCCACTGTACCCAGTGGTTTATTATTTATCACATACTAGTACCACGCCCAGTCTCTCCAATAATGTACAAATGCCATGCACCATTCTTAAAAAAATAAAAAGGGAAAAAACTTCTTGTTTCACTTTTGAATAATAAGTACTTTGTAAAAACTGTAATTAATACACTTTCCAGTCTGGTGAAAATAAATATATATCATTATGTTCATTATCTTCAGATAAAGTCTATAACAAATGTATACATGCTGTGCACTGTATTTTGTTCCTTTTCAGAGTCCGTAATTACTTGACCTGTCCGTCTCAGACCAGATGACCATCATATATGTTATTTATGGACACTGACCAAAATAACTGAAAACACAGCTGCACAACGCACTTTTTTTAGTATTTCATAACTTGGTACTACTATAATATAAAGTTTGTTCCATAAAACATGTGGTCCTAATATCATTAAAAAAATAATCACTTCATGTTCTTTTTTTTTTTTTTCA